CTACCGTACTTGAGGTTTTATCAAAGATTTAGAATTTGTCTGTACACCCCGGCGGGGATTTTAATAAAACCTCAATGTCCCCTCATATCAGTCCATTTTCAATTAATACCTCTCGTTGCTAATGACGTCCATCCATTCATTGTACTATATTCGAAGGGCATACAAAGATCTGTTCACCAGCATTACCAATATATGCGACAAAGATTTTTTTTAAAAACCTGGGGTTTATCAAGTTTGTACAGGCGAAAGCTGCCTGTCCAAAGCAATTTTTGGTGGATAGGTTGCTAAATAAGATGTTGCTGCTAACTGCAGATTCTCAAAAAAAAAATAATCTAATCTTTACCCACCCCAAGACAAATGAAATCCTGTTGTTTTTTAAACAGCCGAAAGCACGTATCCTCAGGAAAGCCCAAGCAAGAACAGATATTCCTCAAACTCGTTTCCAAAGCCTTGTTTCAAGAGTGCTCGTCCAAATGTAATTTCGCTTGATTTGCATCGAGAATGTATATGTAACTAGGCAACAGATGTAGACGCAGGAGGTGAGTATAGTTGTTTAGTCTGATCGAGTAATTAGCACTTGGCCATGCATTGTCCATATATGGCACAGTGAAGAGTCCGTGACGTGGGACACTCTGCCATAGACATTAATTCCAAAACTGAAACTTTTTTGTGACCTCCAGAAAAAAAAGGAATACGAAGACAAGGGCCGATCACATTTTGGGCGGTGAAGTAAACTGCGCCATGAAGACCGTGACAAAAGCAGCCTTGGTGGATGCCAAGCGAACACTTCTAGAGTTCATGCAACTTAACGTCGAAAGAACCTAATTGTTTTACGCCCAGAAGAAAAGTATAAAGTTGCACAGAAAGTGCAAAGACGACAGTTTCATGGTCTTATAGTGGCCAATGTACTCTGACACTAACAATCTCCGGCTCTCATCAAATCAAATAAAAAATAAAATGTCAGAATTTTTCACAATATTTCGGGAGAGTTTCCAATTTCTTTATTTTACTATCTCAGTCAGAGTTCTGACACGACCATATTTTAGTATCTCCAAATATAATTTCGAAAGCAACATTGATATGGTTCACTCATGGCTTCCATATTCCCTTCTCGAAATTAGAATTACGTCGAAAATCCCATTTACAATTTTAATCCCGGGAATCCACCGGACACGCTTCTGTGTTGTGGGCTGCACTATGATAAAGATTCGGTTACAGTTCACTTTCTTCACTACTGTCATGGGCTTTAATCCCGGGAGATGGGGATAAATATCCTCCACACTTTTTGAGGTGGGGATGGGCTTTCGAATCATCCCCCCCCACTTTTTTGTGGTGACCAAAACACTTAAAGCTTATTGTGAAAAGAATTTTAGACTTCCAACGATTAAAATGCATTCAATATCACTGAAAAAAGGAAGGACAGTTTTTAAAAGCCATAAATGTACCATCTTGAATACATTTTACAGATGTTCATCGATATAATGATCATTGACCTCTGTAAAGAGTCATATGGTGTCACCCCCCCCCCTTTTCAAATTTTTATGGTCGGCCAAGTCATCCCTTACCATTCCCCATCCCCCAATTTTCGGCACAAATGTACGCCACTGACTACTTGATCATATAATGCAGGAAACGTGTGTGGTACATAAGTTTTTCTCTTAATTGGTATTTGAAGGCTGTCCAGCAAACCTGCTGCTCCATTGTTCCATAGCTTTTCATTGTTATCAATGTGAAAACTGACTTTTCGTTTTCACGTCTCTTTTTCTTTCAAATTTGACTCCCTGAAAGGTTAAACCCTCTCCTTCGGTAGCCATAGTTTGATCTCTGCATTAATTCTGTAGATACTGTCAAAAAGCTTTTTGTAAGTGATATTTGATGTGGCTTATGGCCTGTTTTTGCAGAGAAAGCATTTCTTCGCACATTATTGCACGTCATACCCATTCTTTTTCCAAGCCCATAGGAATGAACGCTAATTGCTTCCATGCTAGGCGAAGGGCTACACACGTTAATCTACTTAGGAATGACCTTAATACCGCCATTGTTCCAATTACTAATGACCCCGTCAACGATAAGCAGTAGATATGAATTTTCTCAGAAATCAACCAGCTGTTCTGGTGACCGAAAAATCTGCTGGAAGGCAGTTAAGTTACTGGTTATATGTTTCAGGGTAGGACGGAATGGTCTCTGTTTCGCGTGATTTGATGGGCGAAACGAGACTTACCTGGACTGCCTAAGAAATGTGGACATTGCATGCTGAGCAATAAACAACTCATCAAGCGTGATGATTACGATGGCGGATCGACAGATAGAGAAATGAATATTGTTTCTTAGCCCAGTGTTTTTGGCATACTTAGACACCATACTTTAGCATGCCATTCAGAGGCATCACTTTACCAAACCAACCAAGATTAGTGAAGTCAGAAGGCATATGCGACGATCGTGTGATGGCCTAAGTATTTCCAGCTCTCTGGGTCGATTCTGCTAACGCCCGGATAAAATAAATCTCTTGATCGTGGCGACAGCCGTTAAAGTCGGTCAATACATAGGGTTCTCCCTCCACTTTGCTCTGTATTACAAAAATAAAGTAATAACCTCCTACAATGTATCATACTGAAAGAGCAGATGCTCTGACTTGACCTGCGGGGAATTCTGGGCTTTGTGCTGTTAATATCGACTCATGTATACTTTTAGTGCCGCGTTTCAGGTCGTGGAAAGAAAGAAGTTCGGGCTCAAGAAGTGATTTTTTTATTTTCAGGCTTGCTGTTGACATTTATGACTCGTGACCAAACAAATGGCGGATTCTGCTCTGCAGCTGTGTCCAAGGGCACATGCTCACGGACTTCACATAAAGAGCAACGTTTTTTATCAGCCTACTTGAGTCACAGAAGCCATCGGCGACCATCTTACCGTGCCAGATGCAAAGGTTGTTAACCAAATCGTTCGTAGCATCGACAGTTATACAAGCAAACGACGACCTTCGTATTCGGAACGATAAGATGGCAGCTAGTGGCTTAAGTCGATACAAGAGCATTGCAAGTCTGGATTTTTAAACTTCGTGCCCGTGCAGGCTGTTTAGACATGGCACGCGCTGCGTGGCTAAAGGCGTGGCGGTGTAACCCATTGTATTCTCCATGTTAATTATGATGACTGATACCGGAATATTCAGTGCTGCAGCACAATGCATAGTGAAATCAACCATAACATATGTACGCATGAAAAGGATCTTATAGCTAAACTAACGGCTGCATAAAAAATGCAGTGACTGACTTTTATAGGCATACGTTCGTACGATAAAGAAATACTCAGTAAATCATACATCAAAAGCTCCTTGTAATACCCGGTGCCATATGGTATCGACATCATTCCTATGTTGAAACACATTGAATTTCAAGTATCTAGGATGATTTACAGATCCCTGCACTGTGATTATTTTACTGAAACAAAATTCATCGTTGTTTTTCAATTATCCTTATTTTCACTTTCTGTTTTGCTATTTTAAAATGTATTTTAATACTTTATTGCTTTTAGACTGATGTGAATTTTCATATTCCTTTGCAAACTGTGATGTCATTCGAGGGAGAAACTGATTTGTGTATAGAGTTCAACAATTTCTGAAATGTTGTTGTCCAAAACTTCAATTTCTCAGGTGATCTGTGGTTCTGTGAATGCATGTCCTTAGCCATACACCAACGATCAAACCTTTCTCAGAAGTGTTTTCAATGAAGAAGTGGTGAGTTCGATAACAGAACATAAGCTGAACAGCGCCTTTCCGATTGACATCAAGGCAAGAGCACCTGCAGTTGTCCAGAAAAGCTTGGAAAGTTTTTAAATGTGTCATGAGTTAACTTTTGAATACTCTTAACCCACAGAGGCTGGCAAATAGCTTTCTACACTGAAGAAGAGTATAATGATGCACGTACAAAATGTGTGTCTAAGAAAATTTCATCAAAAAAAACTGTAATGAAATATTTCGAAATGCATCGCGTATTTTAGATTTGCGGGTATCCATCAAAGAGAAAAACTTAAGGTTTCCTGTTATGCGCTTCGACATGCTTTCCAGTACTGATGTGGACTGTAATAGACCCATTCGATTCAATTACTGTGTCACTGTCATGCGTCATCAAATATCATTTTCGTGAGCGTCGTGAACAATGTCAGCTTGAGCAGTTTCGTCACATTTCATTTCTATTTCTGTTGCCATTTAACTGTAGAATCTGTCTGGCTTCACACCTCCTGGTGTCTGTGCCAAACCACCAGACCATGATGCCGCATGGCATTTAAATTAACATATGAATTCTTGTAGAGTGCTGCCACCGCACACATCACTTCCACTGTCTCCATCAATAATAATGATAATAATTACAACATTTGTAATGCGTTTTCCACAACGTTTCAAAGCGCCATTATTTTACCTGCACATTAGGTTCACATATCTATGAACATTCCTAAAACCATCTCAGCTCCCTGGGGAGTATACTATCCCAGTACTGCCATTTTGGCGCAAAAGGCCAAATATTACCGTTTCTGCTCTCACAGGTATCCATTTACTCCTGGGAGGAGAGAGCACATGGGGTAAAGTGACTTGCTCAAGATCACAACATGCTGCCACCAGCTGGATTCGAACTCCTGACCCTATGATCAGAAGCTACAAACCCTAACCACTAAACAATATGTCTCCAATCAAAACCCGTATAGTTTATACCACAATCACTATTACGATCGTTACTGGCGTTGTTTCTGTTATTACTTGAACTGCTAATGTCGACCAATACATGGACATGGTAGTGTGGATGGTTCGGGCGATAGTGATGGTGTCTAGAAATAGCATGACACATGATAGCCGCGGAAATGATGAAGTGGTGATAATGTTGACGGTGGGAACGATGGTGAAGATGTAGGTGGTGGCGATATGATAGAGGTGAAGATAGTGACGGTGCTAGCAATGCTGAAAATGGTGACGATGAGGCCGGTTATTATTGTCACGCAGTCACTTTTCTTACCTCCAACAAATCTATGTTGATTCACTGGCCAGGACCATTTTTGTGGAGCTGTTACAAGCGCAGAAAATCGCTAAGCACAGGAAATAAATAGACACTGGTTACCAGCGAGAATCTCATGTAATCTGTGTTGTATCTGACTGGTTCCCAGTAATGAATTTGCTGAACCAGATGTCCTGCCGAGTGGCTCCATGAATGAGCCTGTTTGGTTTTTCAAAATGGCTAGGTCGTTCGAGAACAGAGCATGCGCGCGAGTCTGTGTATGGAAGAGCTGATAAGGCAGACCTCGCGCGAACATAATTGCTGTTCTCGAATGACCTCAGACGCACTCCATTTTGGGCCACGCCGTCGGAATGCCGAAATGGCTCATTCAGTGAGCCGCGCCATTCTCGTGGCGGTGGACCTGAAGGCCATGACATCCACAACCGCCGCTACATCTTCATCCTAAATGCTCTAGCAGCTCTCCTCCCCGTCATCATCAGCTGCCTCTCGCGAGCAACGACCGAAGAATCAAGTCTTTTATCAGACCACACAGCTGTTTCTCCCATCATAGTTCATGTTCAGCTAGCAACATAACAGACTTCAGGTCTGTTTGCAGTCGGGGATGTACGTGAGTCAAAGCTCAGTCCTTCTAGCTTTGCAACACTTATTTAAGTTTTTGTTTATACTACCATCACATGTAAGCAATTATCCCGCAACTTCTTCCGAAACCAACACGGGCTATTTTGGGGCGCAAGACTTGTTTCTTTTCCTGAAGAGGCAAAATAGTGCTAAAAGTGCCTAAACAAACGGTATCTAACACTAATCATTTCACCTCGACCAATTTATGGCAGTGAAACGTTCTGACGCAGGCCACTACGAACTATGCTCTCCGACGTAAAAAAAAAAAAAAGTCATTACTGGCTTAGCCTCTTGGTCACCATACTTCATAATGCTGTGCAAATGGGTTCTCTAATTACATCACCTCGTGTCCATCCAGGCACTTACCAACTGATGTACTGTCTAAATACACGGACAATATTCCAACATCAGGGCGAAATTTTACCCACATTGCTCAAAACATCGACACACAAAGTCATGAGTTGATCCAGACAGCACCCTTCCCTTCGCTCCCTTCCCCACAAAAGGGCGAATTTCTTGGGAGAAGTTTGTCTTTGCTTTTCCTTATCCGGTTCTTGAGTGTGACGTCACTTCAGTTTAAACCACGCCCACTGCTCTTTCACTGCACATAAACATGCATTGATATCCGTTTACATGGAACTGTGGAACCGGAAGTTAATGCGCAACTTCAGCGATAGTCCAGTGTGAGCCTGTATATTGTGGCGCGTCTGCGATTATGACGACGTCGAACCGGATTAGTAAAAATGCCACAAAATACGGTCACGTATCCCGGAAACAATAACAAAGATTTCACGAAGAAATATTAAAACCTCCCCACACACAGTTATTGTGGCTCATGAACCAGCCTCGTTGAATATGAACAATCTTTGCTGCAATCAGTTGGCATTTGCCCAACGTTGGTAAAGATATCAAAAACAACAGGAAAAAAAACAGAAACAGCTATTGCTCGACCCGGTTGGTATATTGTAACTGGATTTGATTAAAGGATCAATAGCTGACACTTTAAAGAAAACAAACTTTCGTTACATAGTACCGTGGTGGTTGGTGCTTCCCTACTTTTGCAGTCTATTGATATGCTTGTAAAGCTACAAGTAGATTCAATATTTTTTCACGATGGTGGTGAATAATATAGATAAAAAAGATATATCTTCTTTCAACTGTTACATTCCCTGGGTGTGTGAAATTCTTGTAGGCCTACAATGATATGCTCAGATCTAAAAACTTTCGACGGCCAACCTTCATCTTCGCATGGACATTTAAAGACCCCCACCCCTTACTTCTGCACGTACCTGTACTGATGTGAAACTGTTCTGAGTTGTCCCGATCCCTTGGGCGACGCCTAGAGATAGAATGAAGACCAAAGCAATGCCTCCCTCCATTTCACCAAATCGTCCAAGTTTAGCCTGTCTGGCTCGCAAGTCTCTCTTGTCAGAGATGAACAAAGGCTGATGGAATACACGCAGTACCCCGGCCGTTTGAAGATTGTTCACGGTATACACGGAGATATCCAGCTGAAGATAGTGCTTCGTCTTGACAGTTTTATATTCAAACATTTAGACACTACTCGATAACAAAAGTGACGTCAAAACGCCACTGATATTCTGGACACTTTTTTATCAACACAAAAATCAGGACGTGCTAGGATTCAACCTGGGTGGTCGCCCTCGGCGTCAATTATAGCGCACTGTATGCATAACGAGTGTTTGAGAGAAAAAGAAAAACATTCTCACGTTTTTCAAAACATTCGTTTGATCAAGTCCGCGGCCCACCGTTTGTGCATTGGGTATAATATACTATGGGCAGTATGTCATCAAAGCACTTCTGTCGTGCGTCAGCACGATTGTTCTATATTGAGTGAGCACCGGTTGCCTATCGGGTGAAAGGAAAAAAATTGAAAGACCGCAATGTTCGAAGCTTCATCTCTCACGGAAACTTGGATTTAATCTTCCGGAAAAAGTGCACCGCGAATTGTCCAAGTTCAGCTACTTCAAAAGGCCAGGCGTGCCAAGCAAAGAGTGTTTGACCGGGGAAAGGCCGTCAGAGATGCGTGAGAAGCTGCCGTTATCTTGGGGGTAGTGGGCGTGCAATGTTACGTACTCTGCCGTATCCCTGATTAATTTTATCCAGCGAGTTAACAGGTCTGTCTAGATATTTTCCCCTCTGATGGCTGCAACGTGAGAACTCGGAGGGAGAGAGACGGCATTTTGTTCGTCCCCGCAGGAGCTTTATGAAATCCAAATAGATATGATAATTGTCGCGGCTCCTGGTTCGTCCGATTACAAAAAGCATTCCGTCATGATTGCCTGAAACAACGGCCTGAAGGTCCCGGTTGTGATACCAGCTGCAACGTGCGCCTCACCTGCGGGCCCGATGGGCGGAATGGCAATTTTTTCACCCTCAATTGATGAGGAGGAAACTCGACGCGATGGGAAGCGAAATAACACAGTCCTGGAGCAATACAATTATAAACGTGGTTAAATTGCAGAATTTCGTTTCATTGAAATCTGCTGGTAGGTTGAGAGCATAGCGAAGCCCCGGTTGTGTCTCAGTGCATCAAATACAAGCTGTTCGCAATCCGACAGTTTATCAGCCACTGACCAGCGTGTATTTGCAACGTTCAGTCGTTACCTGGTGTGCTCATCCGAAGCGAAGTGTGCTCTCTGTAGGCTGCGCGGGCGTGATGTTAACTAGTCTCCATTCAAGTCTCGAGTTCATCGAATATCCTGCTCTTGCACTGGCAAGCATCATTTCGACCTTCAATAAAGGGCGTCGGGGAAGGAGTATTTATCAACCGGCTGTCGCTATGGTGTGTCTCGAGTTGCTGATAGGACAGGGTGTTTAGTCTTTGAATCGGGTTTTGAAAGTACATTATGGATACTTGACATGTTCAGCTTCCTCAGATTTGTTGATGAACTCCGAAGCGGTCCGTAGTATAAAAGTGTAATTGCCGACAGGTGCAAGAACTTGTTCTTAATCGCAAATATTAAAGTGGAGGGAATGACGAGATTCTCTGTTTAAGGGAAGCACATGAGCTGCAGTGCTCGAAGGAAAAACCATACAACTTTCTCATGAGACAATTATGCTGGGAGCTTAGATACAGGCTTGAAACACGTCTACTTGCTCATTTTTTTTATTTAGTGCGGATGCTCCGGGTCTGCTGCGCACGGAGCAGTGATGTGTCAGTCATCATTGCATTACATTCCTATTCTGTCATCGGTTTGAAAATGGGACAGGTGCTGCGGGCTGTTCCGTTTCCCAGGGGAGAGAGGTGTACGTGGCATGAATGCGAGACCTTAAAAAGAATCCTTTACCTTCTACATGCTTCATCTGTTATCCTTTGAGCGTCATGCGTGATGGCTATTGTACAAAGCAGCTAACTACAAAATGGTATAGCACGACTTACGTTTTGCCATTTTACATTTTAATGCATCATGAAAAATAATAACTCAGTAATTTGATTACCTTTTTGAGCCCTGAAACACACAGTTATCAAAGCTTAGTTTTTACATTGTTTTTATAACTGTTTCGAGAATGCTGTCCAGTGCGTTTCTTCCCTACTAGGTTCGGTCATTTTCCCGTAAGTCTATGGCCATATTGTGTACGGCTATTCCAAATTAGAAATGGACATTCTCTTCAAAGATCTTAGAATAAGAGACAATACTCCTTTACGATATCTTGGAATTTAAAAAAGTAGCCCGCAAGTAAGCTTTCTGTTGGGTTAGGATTTGAAATAAGATACAATTATATTCCTTTACGGTATCCGGGAATCGGGTGAGTTTTGATCCGTTGTATCTATAAAGCAACTGTGAAAGAATGACAAAAGTAAAAAGCATGGCTTTTCCGATTATGTACATGTATGTCGGAAGCATTATTGCATCCATGATTAATGCATTTTTAATCGTTAACAACGTTGACTGACATAATACTGTTGCTTCAGCGATTACTAAAGGGACAGTGCATCATATGGACTATGCATTGCATATGCTTAATAGTATAGTTTCCCTGTGCTGCGTGGAACCACGGAATTCAAGAACGGGTCATTGCAATGAGCAGGCCAAGGTGATCGTGTATGCTGGTACTAAGCCTAATTGGGTCATTTACCACGCATCTAGACGAGTTAATTTTTTCAAAGCTTTTTTAATTAGACAGGGTTGACATACGTCAATTTCCCTTCCTGTCGTCAATGCCATTGTCTAGACAGCTTCAGTGGCCCAAGACGTCACGAGTGTGATTTCGAAATGTCGCTCCATCAACTTGAGAGCTCTGCACTGAACGGCGATGATACAATCGGAAAGTGTCGTCAGGAATTGGGTCCTATAGGTTTGGTAGTAGGGTATAATTTGACACATTGTTTTATAGTTGGATTTGCCTTGTAACTCGGTGTTGAAAGAATAATGTCCAAGATTTCCGAAATATTACGTCAGATGTTGGAGGAATGAGGGACGAAGTAATCCCACTAAAGGCTGCGGGTTACTAAATTGGCCAAAAATACATTTGGTCGTATCAGAAGTAACAGACGTTTCCGAAAGATTTTTTAATCAATCACTTGTACCACACCAAAATCCTTATTGTTGAAATACACACGAAATAGATGCGACATACACAAAAATTGCCTCCGTTAAAATTTACCACTTGCAGTCAGTTTAAAATAAAAGTATGTTACACATACGTGCATTGGGAGAAGTTCATGAGGTGGAAGATGAAAATATTCCACGCCATCTGTATCTTATGAGCTTAGTTGGATTATCAGTTGTCATCATTATGAGCCCCGAGATGGATCAAGAGAGGGCGCAGTTTTTCTAGCAACGCGTGCATCTGTATCTTATGAGCTTAGTTGGATTATCAGTTGTCATCATTATGAGCCCCGAGATGGATCAAGAGAGGGCGCAGTTTTTCTAGCAACGCGTGCTCTTCTGGTAGGAATTGCGCTTTGCAAGTTTACATACGGCAACGAAATGCACGCGTTACGGTCGCATCGCCACTAACAAAATGAACACTCCAGACCAAATGGCTCTTTGAAACCGATGATGCATTGAGTGCTTCTGCTCAAGGCGGACCAACATGAACAGTTGACGGGTAGATGAAGTCATTTGGAAACTGTCGATAAAAAAAGGAGGAACGCAAAACGAACTCTGGAATATTTTCCCAGAAGATCGTCAGAAAATGAGCGCCATAAACTGTCAAGCTGGATCGAACGCAAGAAAAGCAATATTGTTCATCAGCACTATGTTATCTTTTTGGATTTATTTCGCCGGATGAACATCGCTAAATATTCTGATCAAATATCTGTACTGAAATTCTACACCTTACGCGACTTCTGGCCGTAGTTTACTGATTAATTGGACAAGCAGGCGAGCAATTAACAGCCAAAAGCAATGAATTAGTAGTGAAGGATGGGTGAAGAGATTAAAAGGCTTTGGCAAATGGAGACCAATTACCTTTGCGAACCGCCGCTGCTGGGGCTTTCGGTGGAGGGTCCGATTAGTGGAGCCAAGTGTAAAAATAAGCGTGTTTGGCGTCTGGGTTAGCCTCCTGTGTTTAATTTCCAACAGAGAATTAAACATATATGGAGTGATTTGGATGATTTGGAATATAGTTGAAATTGAAAAATGCTGCCGCTTCCACGGGCGCCTGTATAGGCTACAATAGTTTCAAGGTTACCAGTAAGGCCACATTTTGGGACACGATAGACAACCAAGACATGTTTGGGCATCGCACGGTCGCCTCCGTGGTGTGGAAAGTCACTGGCAGCCTCTTGAGTCAGGAGTTACCTTTCGCAAGTACTTCATTTCCAGTGGATTGATTTTTTTCACCTCGTGCTTCGTGCGGGTTAGAAATAAAGAATAAATTCCAAAAGACAGCCCCCAAAATGAGACCAGGCAGTTACGCCAAACGTGTTTTTTTTTTACTTCGCCTGACTATGGTGCTCACCTCATGCACACGTTCAGTTAATCGACATGTATACTACAAAATAATGCCGTTATATATTTTCCCATTAGTGGCCCCAGACGGAATGACTCTCTGGTTACCAGGACTACTTTCAAGAAACATCTCCATACCAAAATCCTGCGTAATATGAAAGAATTGGAACCATTGTTGCTATTAGCTACGCAATGCCGCCTGTTTATCAGGACTTCGAACAGTCAGGCTGTCCATTCCGACACATTTGAAAAAAAAGGAAACAAAGAAAACGTAAGGAAGTTCCCTGAAGAGTTTAACATTCATCTTGTTTGTTGTTGTTTATTTTCCCCCATCTCTTCATGGTTCGATTTGTACATTGTCATCGCCAAATAGCTGGAATCAACAACAGGTTTGATATACTTTTGATTTTCATGATGATGGAAGCCATGCTGAAAGTATGATGTCCATGGTAGGCCTGAATGTGAACAGTTCACCTGTGTATGTACATTTCTACAGCTGAGGCAAACATATCCGAAAATCACAAGTAACTCAACAAGCCACTATTAAAACAAAGATTACCTCGTTGCATAATCTATCTCAACCTCTCAGGCTGTCGGTATGTCTTGTGACCTTTCGGTATCAGTAAATCGTGTTAGGACGATGCTGAAAGAGTCGTTTTGGCATTCATATTTCTTCACAAAATGTGTTTGAAGACAGCATTTTAAGCTGAGCTAATTTCAAATTTATCGAGCCTCTTGAGCTATATTTGATAACATTTGAGTGAAAAGCTGAGAGATAAGTTAATTCTTCAAAGGTAGCTTTGGCGACCCTAGACTCATTTTGTTAACTCGAATCACACTTCTTCATACGTTCATGAAGTTGCTTCTTCCGAGCCCCCTTCCCCTGAAAACTGTCAAGCAAGCCGGCGAGGTTTAGTCTCCAAAGACACCTCGTCAAGCAGCCTTTTTATATCAGGATTAGGACATGATCCTGAGGCACAGGCCGTTAACAAAGTATGACAAACTCGTCGAGATTGTGAAGTGCTGACGGACGACAATTAAGTTGGAAGGCGGGAGTGAGAGGCGGTGATGACAGTGCTACACTTCAGTCGTCTGTGAAGATGAGAAACACTAACAACTAACACCTTTTGGTTAACAGAAATTATTACATTTTAGTAGGATGAAAGGAAAACTGAGCCCACCCATCCTGAGGATGCTAGGCTGTATTTCACCATCGGAACCTCTGTAGTCCACTGAAGACGGACAAAGCATACTATCCGACATGTTGGCCTCCGTTCTTCTCAGAACCACACATGTACCCTACTCAAAATCCTTACATGGCTCTACCACAGCTTCTCTAACTTGCCACTGTCACCGTAAAAGCCTCAAAGCTTGATTTACATTAAAGTTGAAACAAAGCTTCGAAAAAACTCGCAACCACATATGTATAAATTGATGGGCAGCGAGTCATTTTAAAGCAAGTTTTCTCATAAGGTAAAAGCAATGGATTAATCTGTTTTGGCATCAGAACTCTTCCAAATAACCCGAGAGGGGTACAAATAGGAAACCTCATAGCCGTTGGTACCGGCATGCCAAAACCTTTAATGAAATGTTCAACCGGAGCACTGGTGCCACGTTGGCACGTTGACCGAAAGTTTTATTTTGAAAGTCAAGAAACACCCTGATGTGATTGATGTCAAAGATAATGACTGGGAAAGAGTCACTTTCTCTCTGGCCATTGCAATGTAATGACCTGATATGGGTGGAGATTTTCGTTTCACTTATTCTCTGCAACCTGAGTGTGGATTTATGGTTTCTGTAAAAACCATAAGCGCTCAAAGTGAGCTAATTAGTGGGAAAGCGGTCAACTACCCGTGTTGGCTGAGTTTGGATCGTGGCCAAATTGAAGGTTCCTATTCCGTGATACTCTATTTCCAAGTGGAGATTGGCTGCGGCCTCAAAAGTGAGTGGAGTTAAGTTTGCGAAAGGCATAGGCATATCCTGCGGGGGCACATACCCAGTGGCGTATCCAGTGGGGAGGGGACCGAGGGGGCGACTTGTCCCCCCCGACTTTATTTTTATTTACGAAGAATATTTCGTAAGTGAGTAGGAACGAAAGTAAATTATTTATCAAATGATAACACCAAAACCCTAAGAAACAACACCAGCAAATAAATGCAAGGATGTTGGGACTGTAGGTAAAGCTTTTGATTTTTTTTCTCCCTAACATCACGTTTAATGAGCCCGAAGCCGCATTCGCTTTTGAACCCCCCCCCCACACACACACCCATGGAAGTGTGTATTTGCCTGCAACCGAGGACCCCCTATTGTTCCTCTTTCGTTTGTACTTTAACTTTTGTAGAAGACCACCCATATGTTTTGTACACAGTTGTCAGTCGGGGACCCTCTGTCAATCGGGGACCTTATTGTCCTCTATTGTTCAGGGTCCCCAATTGAATGCAGAAACAAACTCACCCACCCACACTCCAAAAGTTGGATACACCACTGGCGAAAGCAGTTTGGATTTTGATCAATTTGATGGGCTTGGGCGCTAATGGTCAAAACACATGATTTCTTAAGGCAGATCTTGCTAAGAAACTACATGATATAAATTCCACACCACATTTCAAGAGGTCCTCAAGGTGGAAAATTTTGAGTGCCCTTTTTGTTCTTATAGTCACGGTCGTAGATTCTGTAAGCCAATTTTAGCAGTTATATACTAGTTTGACGTTATAGCATAAAAGGTCAAGTTTAAAATGCTAATAATGTATTTTTTATATAATATCAAAAAAATATCAACCGACTGACAGTATTGAAAAGAAAATGAAGATTCTTCTCTAAAATATTAGGCTCAAAGGAGTATAAGTGGGCACTTCCGGAGTAGTGGAATACTACATTGCTCTATACGGTTTCATTGAAAAAAAATTGTTGTGGAGAGAAATCTGCTAAATTCTCTTAAGAAATTGCAACAATTTTGGTCAGTCACCTCAGCATTTTTAGACGCAGAGAGACTCCCCTTGCGAATACGATCCCCGAGAAAAAAATGTTCCCAGGAATTTTACCGGCAGTCTCTGTTCTCTCCGGGGTGATAACGGGTAACGGGACCCGTGTGTCCACGAGCAATTTACGGCCTTCCCTGCTGCGTCGCGCACAAGGTATATACGAACATAACACCTTGGAAAGTAATAGTAAGCATTCCAATGGCAGTCAAATCCTGTCAGGAAGTCGTCTGTTGTTGGAAGGATTATGGCATGATGGCAACGCCCCTTGGCGTAATGTAGTCAACAAATAATAGGTGACGTCAGTTGTTGCCAAGGAGGGAATTCATAATGGCTCCAAAGATGTGTATTTTTATCTTTTAATTAGCCTTCCTGACTTAATAGCATACTGGAATATCTGATGACTGTTGAAAGTGGACGTGTTTTTCACACTCTCAAGATAGTCGTTGCTCACAACTTAGTTTACACTTTGCCCGAACTTGGTCAAAATGTGGACATTCATTCCCCCTTTGTAAGTTCTTCTCAAAAGTTGTTCAAAATCATGTTATCAAAACATGGCAACTCTTGAGGTACTTCAATCGCTGACTAATGCTGTCCCTAGACGTTGCATTGTATTTTTAACTACCTTAATTACAGCATAAAACTTCAGCTGGTGTATTAGATATGAGAATTAATGTGCATGACAGGTCACAAAATTTACCCAAAAGTACAAAATTAGTCAAATATAAAACTTTCAAAAAATATCGCAAAAATATTAATATTACAAGTTAATTGTCGGCTCAGTTTAACAAATTCTAAACGTTTTTTTAAATCCTCAGTCGTACGTCTCTTTTAGAAAAATAATCTACTTAGAAATTTGGCCGGAATATAAGCATCACTAGTTCTCAGTGAATTTTCGTTTTATTGAGTACTTATCTTAAGGCATGGTATCTGGACAAGTCCGAATTACTTCGGCTGGAAACAACACGTGCGTTCCTACGGAAGCCGCTATTAGCCCCGAGCTGAAGCGAGAGAGGGCGCAGTTTTTTTAGCAACGAAGACTCCTATGATCGGAACTGAACTTCATTGATTCACAAACAACTAGGAAATGCACGTGTTATGGTCGCATCGCTACCAACAGAATGAACACTCCAGACAATATGGCGCTTTTCAACCGATGACGGGGTGCTTCTGCTCGCGGCAGATAGCTAGCTAGCGGCTTTGTGCTCTCACATAGTCTTGTGTGCCACTGCCAGCCGCAGCGAAGCGATTCGGACGCTGTCGTTTTTTTCCCTGCCAGTCATCTCTATGAGCGGACCATAACCCTAACCCTGAACCGGGACGGCTCCTCCCGGCTGTCGAAGAGCCCACCAGGGGCCTCCTCGGGAATGTTAGCGGCACGGGCCCTGCACTCGATATTCACATCCACGTCTCTAGTGTTGAGGGCCACTTGGACGGCTACTACAGGCCTAATGTAGCGGGCTTGATCCCTCTCGTCTGTGCCGACCACGTAAGGATAATGGCCGAAGGACACGCCGTCAGGGGGGTACATGTTCAAAGAGTCTACGAAATCTCTGTCTTCCTCTCTCTGTTTTAAAGAAGAAGAAAAGAATTACGAAAAGCATAGTATTAACTCCCACACGACATTCCGTGGATGGATGTAATATAGAAAGTATGGCCTCGCTTTAATTAGCCAACATATAGGCCATTGAAGCAACCGGCGGCCAGTACTGCCGTACACATAAGCGGCGTTTTTGAGCGTAGCTTCTATGGGAGAAACAGGACCTGCGGATGGTCATGTGTATTGTGTCAAACAATGTGGGGACGTGGGGGCGATGTTGCACTTCACAAGCCAACCCGCAGAAGCTTCTCGAATGCGCCGCTAGAGATAGAGTGACCGTTCTAAACGTGACCAATCCAAGAGGGCGCCCAAACGGGGAACTTAGGCCAAGTTTGATCAAGGACCATAGTTAACCATAGTTCGATTAACTCTGATTGAACGCACGCTAGTTGACGATGGTTGGACTAATCTAATTAAATTATTTGCGAGTGGTCGCATCGTTGGTTAGAAATGATAGAAACACTTGCAGTATACTATGTCACTATAGTAAACGACCATTTTCAGTTCTAACTTTGTTAATTTTCCCTTCGCAGACCTTTTTCTCGCTTTCGGCCTAATGACCTGACAACAGTTGACTGGGGTCGTGCACACTTCAATTTTACTGCGCCTGTGCTAAGTACGTCACGAACCAACCTTAATTAGTAATCCTTGATCGAACTTGCCATTAAATGCTCCTGCGCTTTTCTAAGCATTTTTAATAAAAACGTGTGGACAATGGTTGGATAACCACCGAGGTGGTGGTGTTCAACTTATGTGAATGCGCAATATTTGATGTGACGTCACATTTGCTTTCGCGCGAAGTGTGAACGGGCCTTAACTTTCCTGAATTTAATAAGAACCGTGGATTTTTTTCCTGCAGTTTGCAGGATAATCGTTTTGCTTGTTGAATGTTCGAATTGAAAATATCAAAGAAGACGTGTATGCATGGCCACGTGAGGGTATTTCCGTAGAACCTGTACATGGATTTTCGACTTTCTTTGTCATGGGTGCTGTATATTTCGTAGGCCGTATAACAGACACGTGGTTTTGGTGCCTATAATTTGACCTGAGTTGGCCCATTCTATCAAACAAAAATTTGCTAGGCCTGTCTGGGAGTCGTTGCCTCTGCAGAATGATTACAGAATAATTCGGGCTTTCTTTTTACCCGCTTTAACGCCGAGTGATATTGACCTACATAAACCGAGCTTACCACTTCACAAGTGAAGAAGATCCGATTCTGGAATGATGGTGATTTGTTGAACTTCGGCATTATTAACTCGTCGACTTCAAAGCCCTCTGGAATCCACCCCCAAACCTGCGAAGAAATGGTCGTTTGGGGGAAGGAAAATGAAACAGTGAGAAGAAGAAGATTGAGGACTTTCGGGCAAAGGCATAAATCCGCGGATGGGGACATAAATTTGTTTTCCCTCACGTTTTGACCAGGGGATGGGATATTAAATCACGCTCCACCTTTTCAGCGGGAAAAAAATTGACGGATTTCCAGAAAATTTTCGGACTTTTCAACAACCAGACTGTATTTGTTACAACTGAAAAGGTGAGACAGAGTGGGAAAAAAACTAATACGATTAATTTGATGTAAGGTGCAAGTGTGCAACTACATTTACTAAAGATGCAACAGCTGTCTCACGACCAGGTCCTCCTAGAGTAATCATTGTCAGTATACTCCAGACCTCATTTTGGAAACTTTCATGGCTGGGCAATTTTTTTTCCATTTTTTCGTTTACGTTCTCCCCCACTCCCTGTAGTTCGTGGTACAAATTTACGCCACCGCCCGACAGGCTTGGCGGCCTTTTTTGTCGAGTTCTGCTTTACACCATTCCAGAGTTCGTAGTTTAAAGTTAAAATCGAGCGCTGGGTTTTCGGTAATACCTGCAATTAAATAGCGTACAGGAACAAGCAGCTAAAGGCACGACATTTGCAACTTGTATTATTCCCGTCCTTTGCAGGTGTGCATGGAACGATATGGTCTATTCCACTCTGCTGTCCTTGGCTAATGTTTATCTCTCATGTTATTCATCGGGATTTTATTGGCTGAACATTGAGTGTTCCAGCGAAAGGTATGTACATGTACTTACTCTGTTAAGGCCCATGTACAGACAGGGCTCCGTGGTGTTGTAGCTGGAATTGCCGGGGGCGCACTCGCCGAGTAAGGATGGATCGTATCTGCAGAAGCGTTGTGGATCAGTCACGTTGGCCGGTGGGAGGTCAGAACAATCCAGGTACCCGGATTGGTTGATCATAAGTGCTAAAGAAAATGCAATTCGTGTATGTTGGTAAGTGACTCATACCCAAATTAGTATAAAAACGACTCACGGGATTATACTTTGCCACCTTAAAGATTTCAAATTTCTTCCAACCAGCATGCTAACGTGTGGAACGAGATAACTTTAAAAAGACCGTAGCATTGCTTTTAGACGAAATAAATTAATTTAGACTACAGAGGGCGCTAGATAGCGCGCTCTGACAGCAATGATTAGTAACTTGGAATAAACTACAGGAAGGTCGTGGAATAAATATTCCCTCGGCGATGGAAACGAGGTGGGCCAGCCGCCCCCCCCCCTCCTTCGACAGGGGGATTGACCCTCCAAATTTTGTCAGGCTCTGTTATGGGGCGTAGTGGATCGATCTATAACTGGCTGATGCCTGATGGTCCCACAACTGCCCCCCACACGCTGTCTTTGAAATACGCCCCCCCCCACACACACACTCACTGTTTCTCCCCCCCCCCAAAAAAATACCGGTAGTATTCTTCCTATAATGCTGTTACTGGCCGCATACACTACTGGATAAAAGGCAAAATTCCAACAAGCAAGATTTCTTACGTTGAAACACGAATTCGTCGATCTGTTGTTCAATTCTCATGCGATCCGCGTCACTCTCATCAGGGCTGTACTCAATACGTCGCTGGTTGTCTGGGAACGGCACAAGGTTGAGTCCTTGGGGGAAAATAAAACAACGAAAGGGAAACCTGCTTCACCAGCTACTGAGGTACACTGCTCGGCCACGTTTCTCTCCCAACCCAACCCCAGCACTTGACAATTTCGTAACCTGTATATTCTGGGCTGTCTTCCTAGTAACTTCCTGTATATATAGGTCATATAGGTCCCCTTCATATATTCGTTCATATAGGTCCCCTTGTTGTTAACATTGTTTTCCATCTGTTTTCTGGTCTTCTGCTAATTGTTGTCCCCAGATTCAATTTTCTACCCAAGTTCATAATCATTTTCCAGTTCCAGTACTCAATTCATTTTTATCTGAGCGATACAAAACCCAATTATTTCGAAAAAAAGAGTTTACCTGTAATATCCTGTTTACTTTGTTTCTTACTTTCGTCCATATGCTGAGCGCAGAAGTAAGTAATTATGAAAAAGTCGTAAATGCAAAACGTCCTCGTTTCCCAACCTGTTGGAAGACCTTTCCCGAGGCTCTCACTTTTCAGACAATGTTGAAAACTGTAGTTTCCTTCCATATTTCATCCAGTTCGACCCATAATTACAAGCATCCACTCCAGTGAGTATGACTGTTTTGTGCTTTTTCCAAGTTCCGAACCAAACTACCAACATTTCACTTGACAAGATATTTGTTAATTCAGTTTCATCTTTGCAAAGAAAATGACAGCTTGAGGATCAAATCATAACAAACACGTACAATAACACGACCTTACGCAGAGTTTTGGGCGTCCAGTGACCTAACCTACGCCCAAACCTTTGCTAGAAAATTGGGAGTACAATTCCCTACAGTAGTACAAGGCCCTTGACAGTGTTAGGAAATAGTCACTTGGCTTTTGGCACATCATACCTGGCGGAGTAATAAGTGAGTTGTACTTCGGTCTTTCCAGTGAAATGGTCTGGTAAAAAATGGCGAACATTGCAGCCCAGAAACCAGCCAAGCCCAAAAAGAAACACAGATAGAACAGTCCAATTTGTGCTGAAATAAAACAAATGAACAACAAAAGAGATTAGGGGAGAGAACATGAAAGGATAAAAGTTTGGGCCCATGTTTCACACGTTATGTGCATTCCAAGTTTTTCACACTGTCGGTGTTTTGAGGTTTTTTGGGATCACTTGGCCGCTCTTAATCCCTTTTGTTTTGACTCGTTTGTGATTTTTAATTTTCTTCAGATGAACCCCGCCTTGCCCCACACACTGCATCACAGAACAACTGTGCCATTTTTGCTCTTCTGGTCTGAACTTCCTGGTTGCAGGTTTGTGACACAGCACTTTTTTAAAGAAAAACATGTGTCTATTGTTTCACTTGCAGTAACACCGATGTCGCTGTGGTTTTATGCCAGGTCATAGGAATACTCATAAAGCATGTGGTTTGTTTCACGCGATCCGGCTTGTGATCAGTGATTCGTCGCTGGTTCGCCGTGGCACCAAAGCCGCTTAACTTAATGGATGGAGTGAACCATCAATGGGATCGCTGATTGAGATCTACATGTACATGTGGTGTGACGAAAGGATACTGTAAATCATGCAAAATTCTTTCATCGTTTATGAAATTATTACATTTATTACATGTTAAAGAAAAATCCCACAGCACGAGCTTTGAATCATAAAACATGACTTACCCCAGCTTTTTCCATTTCGTCCCATTACCTCTCTCTTCTCTTTGTCCCACATGAAGTGGCGAAAGCGGTTCCAGTTGTCGCGAAGGTCCCCGCCCAGTTTCCTAAACCGGAGAACAATTGGGTTTGGAGCAGCGGTCTGCTCATCAGTTGCCGGCACATTGTCGTACTCTGCTGGGACAATCGTCTCGCTCTCCGGCTGGGAAGACGGGCCGGCCTGCTCGCTAGTGGCCATGGTGATTCTTTCCAAGCAAAATTGTAGTACGTTCGGGTAGCTAATTATTTGTGCGCTGAAACAAGCAGATCAAGAACCTGTCAGCACAATGTGCCTGCAGTGGAAAAATACCCAAATGTGGTATCATGCGCATGCGGTGTTCTCAGTTCCTGTTTCACATCGATGTTAAAGGGCACAAGACTTCCCCTTATGGAGACTGTTACAAATAAAAACCATGAGGCCTATGTTGTGATTTTGTGAAGTATGTGCGGGACTAAAACAATCTATTGCTCCGTGTGAAAATAAAACGCTCTCAGTTTTTGCTACCTCACCTTGGATGTTTTATGACTTCAAGCTGGCGCAGAATCTTCAGAGAATTCCCTGTGTGTGATGATAGCACGTTGTGTTTTAAGGACTTAAGGGGGTTTTATCTGAGGATAATTTACAGTTTTGCGCTGTAAAGTCATTCCAGAGACCAAAATATATGTTTTTTTCTGTCCTGTGTGAATGTTCTTAATTGTTGCTGTGGTCTGAACACCCACGAATCCAACAGGGCAGCTATCGGTTGAGCCATATTAGAAAGTTAAGATCCGAGTCTGCACCGTGCAGTCCGCCGCGATTCAGAGCCTGAGGGAAAAAGCCGCTGGACACCGTACTCCGTCTGGTGTCTGATAACTTGACTGCCGTCTCAAATGAAACGACAAAACAGATTAATATGCGTGTACATCAGAGATCAAACCCATCAGCAGTTCCTTTTGTGTTACCGAAGCGTGTTGGAACTTGGCAGATCCCTTTAAAATTTTGATCAAGGAAACACGTCGGCTTGAAAAGGAAGTTTAGTTGGTCACAGGGATAGTAGATAGCCTTTATCGGTGTCTGTTGTGTGCTCAAAATTGGGCAGTGATACTTTTGATTAGGGGAAAACATTTAGGCCTAGAACTATGAGCAAAATAATCATCGTGACTGTACGGCTGAGATATAAACAGAGAGATCATACGCTTTATGTGATGTCTATGGATACAAAGCGGATGCATTTTGTAAATTTCAACCATTTCGTTTCAAGTTCGAGCCTTGTTATGTGTCAAAAGCCTTCACAATTTCGTAATAGCAATTCCCTTGCAACTTCTATAAAAAAAACGTTTGGCATGTCATCCAGTAACATGTTAGTCCAATGAGGGTTTTGTAGCCGAAGGTTGGAGTTTTTCATCCCTGCTTCAACTTCACCACCGTTATGGCAAAATACGTGCGCACCCTAGTGTTGAGACTTGGTTAGGCAGCAAACTTTACATCCGGGAGCTCAGCGGCCCCACGTAATATTTCATTGGTAACCGTTAACCAACGAGTACCAGCCGGCATGCCGTAAAAATGGTCCTGTACCCAGACGTGTTTAAGCACATTCGTGTAGCATGCTGTAAATTTGAAATGGAAATCTTTACATGGGCTCAGACTAAGCTTATGGTAATGAAAATGTATATGTTCAGGCATAGGCTCAAATCGATCGTTCTTTTCGTTTGGTTGGACTCGACTGCGTGAACTAACAACATCATGGGTGGCGAAGATAAGCCAACTTTCAGGCAAAAAGTCCGCACAAATTGGGCGGCCTTTCGCATATTCCTGTGGAATTCGGAAAAGAGGGAGTTCCTTGGCAGAAATGCGAAGAGTTGGGGTAGGTACATGGTTTAATCGTCGCTGTTAAAGGCGTGACATGTTTGTGAATGTTCAGAAACGCCGGTCAGGCCGGTGTTCCTCACTGTGGTTAACTGTAACGGGGCGCCCTCCTTCCCTAGTTCAATAGTATTAGTAATACTAGTTGCAGTCATGATCAGTTTTATTTCTAACACAAGGGAGGTCTTTATTATTTTCATCAAATTACCTTCAAGGAGGTTGTCTTTTTACAGTAAGCCCCAGTGCTTTTTTCTTGTTTAAATTTAGCCTAGCCTCCTAGCCTCCTTTGCCATGCAAAGTAATATAAAATGCATTTTTTTCACTTAGCACTAACCCAAGGTCATGCAAAGTCACATCCGCAAATAGGCTATGGGGAGTAATTGCAGAATACCCTGCCACGCGAAAATACCCCCTAACAATCTAATGGCTATGTAGTCGAGTGGAGGTTGTTCGGCTTAAGTCCAATGTGGGTCCTGGGAAATGGCTTCGCGGATACGGGAGTACGAAGTGGGCATTGTGGCGTACCGCAACGCAAAGTGAATGGGACAGACGGAAGAATTTTGCAAGTCTAATGTGGGTCCCGAGAGCTGCTCTGCGGATACAAGTGGGCCTTGTGGAAGCGTGACTCCGTATCCGCGGGTACGAGGTGGGCAAGGTGAGTGGCGGGATATTCTGCAATTGTGCCGGCTATGGTTTAACAGGGAATGTATATTTGGGGACCCCATTTCTAGAATAATAGAAGGGGGACGTAACTTCCATGGCCGTACAGCAGTTAGGTTCCTAATTTCGCCTCATATCATCAAGTATGATTGGTTTTCTCAGAAAGTGGCGACATAAGGAATGTGGCGACATAAGGAATGTGGCAACTATACCAACATAGACGTTAAATTAAAACTTTTGACTTCACCTTGGTAGATGACTATAACATCATACTCATTAACTGTAGGGTTGATGTTGAAAAGAGGGGAGGCTGTTGAGGAGAATTATGAGGGGAAACTGTGTTTTAACACATGATACAGATACAGATTTACATTGCAGGTTTATCAGTAAGAAATCTTTTCTCACAATTTACAATTCAAAATTTTGAATTTTAGTTTTTGACCAGTTTTACAAGCTTTAAGTAACAAACCCAGTTAAACTGGGGATCCCCAATACATAATCCCCAGTTTAGTGGAGCAGATATGCACAAATACCAAACGTCACTATTTTGCATATGTTTTCTATGTCAAACACAAATACGCACAGCCTCAATGTGTGTGCATTCGTTGCCAGTACGAAATGACACAGGCTCTTTTGTGCAGTCCTCTTCACTGCCATTAGTTTACTGCACAGTTGTTGGACAGCACAAAAGTACATCTGATATTCCTGTTGGGATAGTTAGTGCAGTTTGCAGTGTGACAGAGCTGTGCATCTTTTTGTCTACCAACTGACCCAAAGAGTGTCTGCAGCATAGGAGGGTTAAAGAACCAACACTTATCTACATTCTGACAATATTAATGTACCAGAAATGTATTCAAATCCTTAGGATATATGTAAATGTATTTGAAAACTCATTCAGAAGTTGAAGGATTCAGGACTGTTGGGTAGCAAAAAACTAAGAAATTTTCCTGCTTCTAAAGGGAGAGATTGCCAAATCACGGTGCAAGGAAGGGGGGAAAAATGACTGGGAATCACTTTGTTCCTGCAAGGGGGAACTCACCAGGAAATGATTCATTCACTTGTAGAGTTGGGGCCTATTTCCCCCAACCATGCCAAAATTAGCCACAGACCCTGGGGAAGGCCAAAGCAGTTGGTGAGGTTTTCCTGTGTCTGAGGTCATACGTTGTGCCAGAGAAGGGGCAGGGAAGGGTTCGCATAAGGATTTGGTCAGTCGACTGAGCAGGCTGTTGCGTTGCTGAGTCATCAGAGTGTGGCATTGGGGAGATGGTGTGTTTGAGTAGTCACAGGCTGTCCCCTCCCTCCCCTTTTCAGGCAGCCGGTGTGGTTAACGAGTTGAACCCTTCACATGGCAGATCAGGCCTCACATTTCATGTTTTTTTTTAGGGCACTGCCATTTGGCATTGGTTGACTGGCTGAAGTAAAGGGCACTGCCAAACGTGAGGGCATAAATGCCATCAGCGTACCAAAGTTCTGCCATTAATGCCATTCCGATTTCGAAATTTTTTTTTTTTTTACATGTATATTGCGTGAAAATCAGTAATCATTCAGCCTGGCCTAAGAAAAAGTAGGATAGGGCCTACGCATTATACCTGAACATGTCCATGATAAGTGCCAAACCAGCAGCCGAGTGTTGAAAGACAACAGTCAACTGCGTGACTTTGCACACAACAACGTACATGAGAATCCCGGTAATCCCGGTCGATATTGTAAATGTACAGTTTGGATCGCATGCGGCGCATGGCACTACACTGCAAACACCACATTGCGGTGTTACTTAAAGTACTGCCACCACCATACAGTTGTCCCGTGTGCATGAAAAACATGGAGCTATCGGTATACATGTACATGTACCGTTAACGTGTACATGTTGATAAGCACTTAGTTTTAGACCAACATGCATGGTGCTTGGTTTGTTCATGTGCTGTTATGTTAAGTCATTGGATAGGCCAGTGGGTGTTGCCTTGCAACATTGACTGTGCCGCGCTTGAGATCGTGCAGTGTGCATGATGCGGTCAAGGCCAGGCTGCCGGTGCGCGGCGGGCTGAGTGTACGATATACCGGTACCCATCCCCACATACACACAGTGCACGCACGCCCTGCATATGCATGCATGTCATGTATTTGGGTGGCGTGGCACAGTGTTCCAGTCGAATGTGAACGATCATGGAATGATGTGTATGTCACTTTCCATGCCACTTTTCGCGTACCTTGCTGAACGAGGGCCGTCGATATGCACATGTAGGGCACTATAGCCAAGAGAAAAAAGGCACTGCCATCTTGGCGGTTAAATACGATCACTTTTCAGAGGCACCACAGCCAAATGGGAGGGCACCGACAGCCACGGCTGTCGTAGCCATCGGGAAATTTGAGGCCTGCTTAATTAATACACTGTTCATGCATGACTTACGCCGAGTAATCTTAGGAACATATTCATGCACATGCTGGTGCGTCATAACTTTGTGTGATGTTTGCAGGGCCATAGTCGAGCCCACCACTCACAAGACCAGTCACACTCCCTCTCACAAAAACTAGTCGCGAGTAGCAGAGTGGCCAGTGACAAAGGAGTGCTTTTGACTCAGTTAATTTGAGTCGCTTGCTTGTGAACTTGATTTAACAGTAACTTATGATGGACTTGACGATCAGTTCGGCCCTACATGCTTGAAACAACATGTGTCACAGTGTATATATAATATTTATCATCCTCTTGTATGTATAAAAGAACTTCATTCTGCGCCTGGGTTGTTACTGTTGTATACATGTACTCTTTTCAGATTTCTATAGCCAGGCAAATTATCCCCCCTCCCACAACTCCCCATCTCCTCACTTTCGGGCACAAATTTATGTCGCTGTAGGCAACTTACTGGTAGCTTAGTACAATCTGTTAAGTGTTATTAGTTTGCCACACGTTATGGGACTGGATTGCTAAGCAAAAAAAATGCCTACAGCTCGCCCTTTACTGGGCATCCATAAAAGTTTATTACAGTGCATATGGTTGGGGTATTGGTTTTGTCAGATTAATCCTCTGCTACCTGTGAGGCAACCTCATGTATGAACCAGCACAGGGAGTCTCAGCAGGTCCCGCATAATTGAATCCTTTTTTGGAAGTCTCCATTCAAGCAGTAATGCACTATGAATTATTGCAGACACCGTGCACATTGACTGAACCTACATGTACATGTAGGCTGAACCACTGAACCCTGTCCCATGCATGGGCTGATCAACATGAGGATGCATGCAATTATCGGTGAGGAGGAACTCGGGGTTTGAGGGAAGACCTGGGGTTAACAGGGCAAGGGTTCAGGGTATCAGTCAATAATGGGCAACAGGGTCCAACTGATAAACTGCTGCCAATTAAACCTGTGGTATCAGGGCCTGTGTTGACTTTAAAAGAGCCACCAGTGCCCCGATTTACCAAATGAGTTCTTCCCTCTACTAGAGTGGCATGTAAGCACCCCTATGCTAGTAGGTTCAAGGTTATGTACAGAGTTCAGTCAGTTGTTGCTGCCGAGTGTGCATATTATTACTGTGCACATTCAAAGGTTACTTACTGGTTCAGCAATCAAAATTGTACAGTCGAACCTCATTAACAAGAGCTCCGTTAATACAAGATTCTGCTTATAACAAGGGAAAGTTCAGGTCCCAGTCCTTTCTTTTTCATTGTTTGCACTCCTGATAATACAAGGTTCCCGTTATAACAAGGTAATTTGCCAAGTCCAAAGGACCCCATATTAACAAGGTTTGACTGCTAGATTCCTGAGAATAAGTTTTCAGCCCAGTTTCCCCAGCAATTTGGTGTGTTTCGTTTTTTTTTCCAGTTTACCCTAAAAGAATCATGCTGAACAATTCCTTTTGATGTACATGTATACGTCTCCGTCTGGCACCCTGATGAAAATGGATATTACATGTATGTGGGTACAAAAAATGTTGGGGGTTCCTGTTGATTTTACATTGTATGTATTCTTCTAAAGTTCCTTCATTCCAAAGTGGTTAGACAACTTGGGGTAATTACAGGTGAATTACTTTTGGGAGTTGAGAGATTGTCAAGGGTTTCAGCCACTACTTCAACAGTATCACCTCCCTCATTTCCCAAGAATGGTAGATTTAGGGGGGATATATCAGTGAAGTCGAAATAACTTTCAAAGCACAAAAGTTAAATTACATGTACAAATGTAGTTATCCGGCAGTAGTAAGTCTGCTGTAAAAGGTAACCTTGAAACAAACATATAAGCATGCTTCATGGAATGAGGCATAAACCAGCACCAGCACACAAAATCAGCTTCTGTGAGATTCATGTAGCCCCAAGTGCATGAAATAACGGTGGCGATTTTGGTGATTTTGGTCTTGGGCGCATGGCTCAGCTGCAGTTTTAACAATCCTGGAGGGGCCAGGGTTAAGTATTGTTTGCATATCTTATCAGGGCTCCATTCAGCAAGTGAATAGGCAGTATTGAACATGTACATGTTTGTTTGAGTGGGAGGCCCAGATGCATATGCGGGCATGCTGGCCACATGGAAATACTGGGAAAAGGATTTTGAAAAGATGGTGTCACAATTTGTTGGTCATCATTAATGGGTTTACATGTAGATGTACATATCAAGAACCAAATTTTTGGTGGGGGGGTGTGCTTGTTTTGGAGAGGCCAAAAAGTTGGGGGTTTTCCTGTAACCTTTTATGGCATTTCTGAGGGGTGAGACTGCGTTTTAGACCAAAAATCATCTTTCACATGTACGATTAACAAAATGTACTGCGTCTTTTGGAAGGGGCCATGGTCCCTGGTGCTCTCCCCCTCCTCCCGATCCATCTGTCCTTTGGAAACAAATCCAGTTCTGCTGAAAGAAGGGAAAAAAGCTCCCAGATGTCATTTTCTACAAAGCCCAAAATACCCATGCACTTTCACTTGTGGGTGTGTCTGTGTGAACATACTGTGCCAGTCATGGGTGCACCATACATGTACAACACCTGTCCGAAAACCTACCAGAGATGCAGACTGGTGGAACTCATTACTGGGACACTAACTGTTCGCTGCAGATTGCATTAAAGATTCATAGTTTTCAAGATGTATTTTTACGTTGGGGAGATGTTAATTTATATAACAGGTTTTAACGAGATTCATAGTGTTAGGAGTATACTGTACATGTAACCATCCTCCTTCCTCCATGATGTAACTGGATAAAATGTTTATCGCTAGGAATCTGTGTTTGCATAGCAAAGAGGGTCTAATGGCTTCCAGTGTCAATTTCCCCAAGCTTTTTTTAACAATGCTTGTGGAGATGTTGGTCTCCCTTGGTTTAAAAGGGTTTGCTTATAATGAATTCAGCATAACCTTCCTGGATCCAGTCTGGAATCCAACAGTAGAAATAATTTTTTAATTTGATCTGATCAGTAAAGAGGGAGATTTTTTGTTAACAGTTATTTTCTGCGTGTATTAATTCAGCATAACCTTCCTGGATCCAGTCTGGAATCCAATAGTAGAAATAATTTTTTAAATTGATCTGATCAGTAAAGAGGGAGATTTTTTGTTAAAAGTTATTTTCTGCATGTATTGAGTATCCATCAGTGTACAAATTTCCCATGAAGAAATGTGGAAGTCCGTCTCTGGTACTGGTACAGATGTTGTGCAGTCACACTGACATCAAACACTTCAAGAAAATATGTATTTCAGATGTACGTAATGTACATGTACAGTGTAATTGAGGAAAAATGAAAAACCCAGTCTGCAAATAATATGAAGTTTGAAATCACACAAAGGAATAAGATGAAGTTTAAAAGCCTCACGTGATGGCTTCAGGTTCCCCTGAAAACCGAACAAGTTTCTCTGCTCAGTCTGAGTCCGACCCTCCAAATCCACATTGTTTGTTGGACTACATTGTACGTGTTCAGCCGCTAGCGCTTTGTCGCGTTGCATACGTATGCACAGTTTACTCGCTTTGCACAACTTTGCACGTCCCTCTCCCTCGTGCTTTGAACGTCCGACCCAGCGTCCTCCCTCCCCGATCCTGCTTTGGCCATCTCTCTCACCGCTGTGTGTGTGGACAGGTTAGTGTCAGCATCCCCCTGAATGTGCCAATCGTGAGAGCATGATGCATGTGTATCTTGCTGCTTGCCTAGGATCAGCAAAATGTTACCTTATCAATTTTACCTACATGTACAGTAGGCGTTATTTACTCATACAAGTAAATGTACGTGTGCTCTACATGCATGTACCTATGCAGGTTTGTGCTAAATACACATTTGCAGATAATACAGTATAAGGTATTTGATCAGGCTTATTGACCCTAACCCTACATAAAACAAATTACTACTTGTAGTAAAATGTAGTACTGAGCGCTCTCGCTTGTAAGAGGACATGACTTTATTGTTCTGTGAAGCCATAAGATACAATAGATAAGACAATGTACCATACAGTGCTGTGGCACTGTAAATGCATGGCTTATTGTTCTCTGTAAAAGTAACAATGAAAGTAACCTAGCGAGAATTAGTAATTTGTAGCACTAGGTCCTTCAGGCTCAGACTATTACGTAGTATTCTGTAGTACTGTGTAGTGTAAGCCAAACAATATGCTTTGCCGTTAGGGTTAAGGTTGAAACTTGCTTAAAATTCATGAATTATTACTACTTATGGTAAGCATGCCTTTGTAGTATTCAGTGTTATTTTACATGAACATAGTTGCACGAACTGCATGCACCGTAATAGGAAAAATTTAGTGCTGAAAATTCTGTCTCGGTGATTAGTTTTCAGGCTTGATATTAATTTGTGCATTACTAGAAGTGTGGACGACCCCTCTGGTGTGTCAGCTTTTTATTTGTGCGACCCAAGATGTGAAAGAATTTTTAACACTTTAAATCAGTCAAACCCTGCTGTCACTTTTGAATAAAAGGTGCTGCGTGTTTGTCCCAGTTTTATTTTTGAAGAATTTTACCTAATTATGCACACTAAATGGTATTTGGCCTTGTACTCATTTCACAGGTTATACTCGCAAAATTTCTTTAAAAAAATGAAGCTGTTTTTCATTTGGGAAATGCAAGCCCAGCGTTAATGGCAGCCGTGGTAATGCGAGCTTCCTTGAAGCAGTCTGGACTACATACATGTACATGTACCAGTATCTGACAAATGAATAGCCATTCTGCCCACCGGGAGCATTAATTATGCCGAGGCGTACGCTCACCCTAAGTGTTGGAGTAAATGTCACGGTTGTCAACTTGCAATGCATCCACAAAGAATCCACTGCAGTGCACATGATACAGTAATAACAGCTGATTTTTATGCATACTTAAAAATGTGTACAATTGCTGTGCGCATGCATTCGAGATTAACATGTCTGCATACACGTATAGTGAGGAGTATTAGTACATGTACGTATTCGTGGAGTTTACCTGAAAAGCATTGAGTATTTCTACATGCAAAATCTACGAATGCCTCTGAAAGAGGACGGTTGTTTTGGCTTAGCAAGTACATGTAAGCGGCGTTAAAATTCTCACTTCGCATGGATAGTGCCTCTGCTGTTTCCAAAAATTCCTCAGTCATCCTCGCAAAGCATTTATTGCTATAAACCAACACGGATGTAGAGTATGAATCATACCAGTAATAAACAACACAGCATGTAAACCAAGCCTGTTAGAGTGCTTTTAGAGGAAGATAATGCATTAGTATGAACATTACTGGCACGTGCAGTACGTGTAGACCGTTTAAGCACCAGGCATGGTTCTACATGTACATGCATATCAGAGCAGCTGTTTTTTTTTCCTGCGTACTAGTAGATAATTAAATTGTAGATATAATTGCATATGAGAATAAGGATAACATTTGTAAAGAATTGAATTCTGTTGTAGTTTGCATTCTAGAGAATATTAGTTGTCATGGAAACAAATTCAAAATGAATTGCATGAAGTACAAAGCACTGAGAAAAGATTGAATGCATGAAATATGTAAGAGAAGCAAATGATCGAAACGCGTAATACATGTTTGATTCTTGGTTCAAAATACATGTACTTTTCAATTGATAGACGTGTTTGGAAATGCATTCATTATTTTTGAAAATTATTTCTTGGTGTGATGTTCCTGAGAATGTATTACTTACATCTACAATGTACACCACCCGTGTCTCGGCCACACTGCACAACAATCAATTCCTTTTCTAATCGGTCGCCTGCAAATTATGTGCATGCTTAATGCACACTGCATCCTGTCAGTAATAATGTTCTTCCTTACAAATTCATAACAGGTTTGTCCCATGTGCTCAGAATGGATACATTTCTATGGTAGCCACCATTTTACCGTTTTGTTTTGCTTCCTCAACATAAAGTAGATTGTTGCCCCCCCCCCAATCAGAAAGGCATGTTACCAAGGGCGTCACAAAATCACAATTTTTCACCCAGGCACAAAAAGCCACATGCTCTGTTAAATTTTGTTCATTACTGTTTCTACAAGTTTTAACAAGGAGCTCTCGTCATGCATGCCATCCGAAGGTTCATGCCCCCTGCAGGATGACGGCTTTGCCTTAACTCGTATGTCTCAATTTTATTCTGTGATGACAGGTCAGATTGGAATTTTCTACCTGATCCTCTACATCTGCTTAGCCGGTTTCTGGGCCCTCATGCTCTTCATCTTTATGCAGACAGTCAGCCCGGACCACCCCACCTATAACTCGTACGTCAATGTGCCGGGTAAGTTGACGGGGCAGACCTGCAACCTTGCCCCAGAGGCTTCATACCACCAGAATCCACCAAGACGTGTCAGTAGCTTATTAGCACCGTCAGTTATAGATAATTGCTGATGTTGATATATCAGCAGCCTGATATCGATAATACCAATATATCATTTTTTTTCCGAAGAATGTTCTCAAGATCAAAACCAATGCCAAACACCTTTTGTGGTTAGGCAGCTTATCAGTTGGTCCTAACTGTGCAGCAAGGAATAAGTCTGCTGGAATTCACGAGCTTTTTTATCTTTCTCAAACATTTGGAACACCCAGCATCACTAATGGCTCACCTCATTTTAATATGAATGTGCACTCCTAAGTCTCGCCAGTCCACGATCACTACAGCCAGCTCTATGGCTTGTCTCTCAAAACAATCAATGTACAACTTGCAAAGTCCCAGCCTGCCAGCGACTGGAATGGCAGACCTTATTGATGGTTCAGTTCTTTTATACCCAAATCAACTGACTTGCTAACCCTGCCCCCCAAAAACACAGAACAATTTTCAAGTTTGATCCGTGCTGCGGTAGGAAAGCGGTTAGCGGCCGTCGTACGATAAGGCCGATTCATGTATGAACCGACCTAAACGCTGAAGTACATGTATTCAGTATTCGGGCTCCGTTTTGATTCAGCCTACTCGGCAAACAGTCGTTGATGGCAGCTTTGGATCATTGCCAAGAAAAAGCGTTGGAACTGCGTGTGCGGGCCGTGAGGTTACACACGTATCATTCTCAGTTCCGAGCGTCAGGGATTATTTGGGTCATCGTTAGTAGAGAACCGTACTCGTGTTTAAGATCAGCATGCTACCCAGCATGCTGATCATAAAAAGGGCGCAATTCTGCACAATCCGACATCAAGCATGGGGTCTTGAGGAAAGACTAAACAATTGACGAAGCCATGAAACCTTACAAAGGGTGCGCAAAAGGTATAAATCCTCTAACCCTAACCACCCAAGTGTAGCTGGACCCTAACCTTCCCCAATCATACCAAATTCAACACCTCGGGAAAAACTCTCTTACCTCACAGTACCCAATCCCACAGACTTCAACAGGTCTTTACCTGTGTGATTTTGTTTGGGTACAGTAGGCCCACTGCACAGTCCAAAGAGTATGGACAGGCAGTACCTATTCAAACAAACTCACACATACATGTACATGTAATCATGCTGCATATCCATCCCCAACTGCTGGAATCACTGTGGTCAGAAACAAGGAAGATTGTCCTTGTTATGGTAATTATTACATAATATTACAAACTACATCCTTACCCTTTCAATGGCAAGCTTTGTGTTATTACATTATCTTTGCAGATTTCTTTAAAGGATCTAACCTTTATTAATGAACATTTATGGCAAAATCAAAATAATGGGGACCCTTCAAAGAAGCGCAAAAAGGTTAAGGGCAACTACCAGTATAAAGGTTAGGGGATGGGCCTACAGAGGTAATGAACTGCAACTTAAGGAGAAATGTTATTTTTGGCTACCAGAACTTAAAATCGAGACAGCAACATTTTTGCCACATTGTTTAACCTGTAAGTCGCCTCGACGGAATCAAAAAGTTCATGTTGCCAGAGTTGTGAAATGCTGATGGGGAAAGTATCCATGGCTCATGGACCAAGGACCAATTGGTAAGCTGCCTTACAGCCGGAGATGCATGACCAGTGTGAATATTTTACAAGTCCGTGACACTGCGGACAGTCGTCAGTAAGATCAGACAGCAAGATCACAGACAGCCAGCAGTGTCAAGATTGAATTCTTGAAAGGGGATTCAGAGGTTTATCGGGCTGAACACTAACAATTTAATGCCTCTGGGTTTCTCTTGAGCGATCCACATCAAGTGCAATTCTAGGAAAAGGCACAAACGTTCTTCTTTCATCTCAGACAAGATATTGTCTATGACAACTACTTTCTTATAATTTATAAGCTTCATTTTTTCATTATATCAGCGTTTTTCGATATATCGATATGAGTGTCAAAGTGGTATCATTCATATCGATATAAAACGAAATTAATGTATCAGATATTATCGACATTGACTGACCGTAGTAGCTTATCCGTGTTGGACACTGTGTCCTTGTGATCATCTCAAGACTCACAAGACCAGTCACGAGTAGCAGGGTGGTCAGTGACAAACAAATGTTTTTGTGGCAGTTCATTTGACTCGTATATGTGGACTTGAATTCAGACTGGAGGGCTTGTGTCAGTCCTCTGATTGTCCTATGGCGTAGCGCCTACTTTGTGAGATGGCGCGCACCCAGCTGTTGCTTTATCAGATATTAAACAGCTGGTAATTGACAGTAAAGGCTAAGTTGTCTTTGGTACATGTATTTATGATTGAGAGTTGCAGGGAAGCCAATTCCGTATCCTTACTAAGTACCTATAAGCCTCATTTCCTCGGTTTTCCTCTTCTGGGTTTTGCCCATTTTCGCAACGCAGCCACTTTGCAGCCAAGGGTGATCAGTTCACATTCAATTTTCTCCCGACGGAAGCCAACAGCACCCTCAAAATGAAACTAAGACGAGCCGACAAGTTGGGTGTGGGTAGTTTTCAGACCTTGTTTTACTCAACAGCAGTGGAAGTACCAGACTAGAGAGGTGACTTTTTAACATGACCACCTGCACTCTGTTCTGTTCATGCAGGTGTAACGCTAAGACCCAAGTTCTATAAGGGCGATGTGGTGTTCAACCCCGAAGTGCCAGAGAGCTACAAAGACGAAATAGAGGATCTAAAGAAAATCTGGAATTGTGAGTCTCTCTCATGTCTTAACCCTGACTCCCTCAAGTGACTTACCAGGAATCTTCCACATCCTTGAAAATCTCAACACCATAACAGTAAACTCTGCATGTGAACAGTTGGACTGTGTTTATTTGTGATACGCCTAATATTACATACACCACCAGTATACCAGTGCGGAACAGTTCCAACAAACCCTCGTGTTGGAGTTTGGCTGGATTAACATGTATTCAGTGTTGCGAAGGCGATGACATTTGCTCAGATTAAAACATGTCATCATGTAATTTTACAAAATAGCTGTCATGTTGTAAAGATTTGGCACTT